TGGTAATGACCCGTTTAGCTCTTTCTGGTATTCTCGATCTAAGATTTTTAAATTAAATGTTGTAATAATAAACGTATTCAAATGTATATTTACAAACAGCAACCCCTAAAGTTTCTTGCACATTCTTCTCAGGGGAATCAGCAGTAGAGTTTAATCAGTATGACGATTTCAAGTGTAATTTGCTTACCTGTAAAATAAAGATTATTTATCGAGTTATTAGGTTTTCGCGATTGTTACAATTAGTAAATGAAACTATTTTTCCGAATTTAAATCCCGAATTTAGTCGTCCTCCGTGCAGATAAAGCTAACGCGACAGTGCTCATGAATACGCCAAATTATCGTAGCAAAATAACTGACTTACTATCAGATGAAAGCACGTATAAAACGGTGAAAACAGACCCAACATATTAAAAACAACTACCTTAATATCTAAGCACTCCGAAACTCATACGCTGAAACTTTATGTAAGTGAGTTTGTACCCTGCTGCGTAAAACCTCGAAAACTGTATGGGTTACCAAAAATACATAAGGCTCCACCACTCCCTCCCATAGTCAGCCAGATTGACACACCAACCTACAAACTGGCTCAACACATGGCAAACGTAGGTACTGTCACCATTGAGAGGGAACACTTCTACACATGTGAAGGATTCATAGTGGAATCAAAGATCTACGGTCAACTGATGATGATACCATGATCAATTTTGATGTTCAGTCGCTGTTCACCAATCTACCAGTAAAAGACTGCATTGAAATTGTACGTAGAAAGGTAAGGGAAGATAGGTGATATGTCCATTGAATATGCAGAATTATTAGAACAGTGCCTAACATCAGGCTATCTATTATGGAATAATGAATTCTATCTACAAATCGACGGTACAGCGATAGGTTCTATGGTATCTCCCGTTGTTGCCGATATTTTCATGGAAGACTTCGAAGAGCGAGTGTTACCCATAGCCCCGGCTAGGCCGAAGATATTCAAAAAGTGAAGGAAAGGTTTGATTTGGATCTAAATCTTTTTTTATTAAAAAAAACCGACCTCAAAAGTTCATGAAATTACTTACATCTATTTGCCAAGTTTTATTGAAATCGGTTATCGGAAAGTGCGGGAAACCGGATTCATCCCCTAGTTAAATTTGAAAAAAATACAATCGAATTGAAAACAGTCTCCTTTTTGAAGTCGGTTAAAAATAGTTTCATTTCCTATGTGTAACAATCGCAAAAAATTAGAACTCGATAAAAATAAGAATATCAAATAACGTTTACATTTATATAAACAAGAATTAGACTATATAATAGCAATTAGATTTAATACAACCTTCCTCAACCTTTCATCATCATCCACCATCTATTTAATTCGTCGAAGAACTAAAATAATTTCAATAGTTACTTAACCACACAAAATAAAAGCACAAGCCCGAATGAAAATTGATGAGACATAAATTCATAACGATACGATAAACTTTTTGTTTTAATTAAAAAAAACTGATGTTTTTGCAGTTCAACTGTTTTTCTTTCATCCACCATTTTCCTCGCTACAGTGAGGTGAAAAGTTGTGTGTTTCGCTCGACAGCAAAGTTGTTTCGCTTCTCGTGTCTTGAAACCCTCGCTACGCTCAGGAATCTATATATTTTTTATTTATATTATAGCTTCCTTCGCTTGCTCAGCTTTCAATACAAGCACTTGCGTCAAACAACAACTTTGCAGGCACTCGACAAATGAGTAGGAAATTATTGAAAAAATCAGTCAATTTTTTTTTACAAATTAGAACTAAAAAAGTAAAATGACCGATCCGACGTTTGAAAATACACAGCATTATTTTGGAGGTTAACAAAATACTTAGTTACTTACTTAGTGTCAGTTTATAACCTAACACAATTACAAAATTAAATAATTACTAATTTTATTGTAACAAAAAATTATTTGTGTCTTTTTATTCACATTTTCTGGTTGAAACCGACGTGTGTGCGCTTTATACATGAACCTGAGGCAATTATCACACTGCACCGCGTCCCGCGACGGAGCGCGATACGTGGAATCACGCGCGCGGTGGCGGAGATGCAGATCTGCGTCAACGCGCGGTTTAATCTGCGCGGGGGCAGCGGTCTAGCGGCCCCGCGTCACTTAAAGTACTCGCTTCGCAGTTGATCGCCGTAGTGATTGTATATGTAGCCGAGATCCTTCTTTGACAAGAATAGTTAATAATACAGAACTCATCCAGGACGCTGCAGTTATATTGTCCGTTTGGTTTTTATTTACTCAAACAAAAAGACACCGAAAATATATGCATCCCTTGTTACGAACCAGATCGATAAATGGATAATTTAACTTCATTACAAAGATTTAAGACAATATGAAGATAAATTTGGTCGATTTTCAATAGCAAATATAAATTTATTGACGTTGAGATCTATTGTAGAAAACTGAACATGTCCTTAAGCTTAAAAATCTGCGCGGTAGTGCGGAGTGCAGTGAGAGTGCCGTATCCTGCGGTTCGCCGCGCCCGCGCCCCTCCGCCCGTGGGAGCGGTATAAACGCGCGCGCCGCACTCCCGCCCGGAGAAGCGTTGTCAGCGTGTTGGACTGACTGATGACTGAATGAAATGAGGTACCTCAGTGCAACGTTAAAAAACGCAGCTCCGCGCTCCGTCGCGTGGCGCGGTGCAGTGCGATAAACGCCTAAAGCACAGGTTCACAAGCTTTTTGGCTCACCGCCCATTAAGGCAAGACAAAAAAATTCAACGCTCGCTACCACAAAAAATAATTGAAACCCCGTATTTTTTCTATTAACACAAAAAAGCAGAAGGAAAAAAAATGTTTAGTGTAGTTTATATAGATAATTCTGTTTTTTTACAAATGCGATACCACCCCTGGACGGCATCAACGCCCCCCAATTGCTTCCCCACCGCCCACCTAAGACTCTTCAGCGCCCACTGGGTAGGGACCACTTTGGGAAACTATGATCTAAAGCGTCACATTGTGAGCCACTAGTGTGTAAGCCACTTAGGGCGTCACAGCAAAAAAAGGAAAGACTTGCGATTTTTATTAGTTTTATCAAAATAATCAGCTGAAGGAATAATATATACAAAACCATGGCGACGACGGTGTAACGTGACGAATGGAGTATTTTTATCTCAGTTTTAAACAATAAATAGCTACTAAAGTAACCACTGAGTGACTGAGTGTAGCCAAGTGCAGCTCTGTTAACGTTTATTATCGCATGGTGCCGTCTGACAGGTCGGGGTCAGCATCCCGGTAACGCATGCGCCGTTAGGACGAGAAGTCCCCTCTTCCCTCCTCTCTGGCCTCCGTCTGATTTCCCCTTGGAGCGATAGGGTTACCATCATTTAAGAAGCTGAAAGAGAACCATACAATTAAAACAAAAAGGGCTTATTAAGTGATGTGGTGAACTATGACCCTTTACCGTCGCCTTAGAGTGAGAAGTAGTTCGTTTTTACTGATTTTTGTTGAAGGAAAACTTATAAACTTGTTGCTCTAATATATTATTAAAGTGATGTAGTATCTGAAAGAGGTATAATTTAACTAATTAAAATGCTGACCACAAACATTATTGCGTTTACTACATTTTTCACCACATTTTTATATTCGTCCTAAAAAATTACATAGAAATCACATACGAGGTTTTTACTCTAAAACGGCGTTATATGTATAGACTCATAAAGGTTTACATAATGCGAAACAACAATATATTACACTAATTTGTTAATATGTCATTGTATATTGTTATCATTGGATGCTCTGATGTTACTTAAGTGTAGAAGCACTTAGTTTTAACATATTATTTCAATATTTATTTAATGTGTACTGTTTTCTAAATGGAATATCCTGAATAAATAAAAAATTAATGAACAAATTAACATCCCGTTGTTATATCCATAATATGTAGAAGAAATTCTTCTTTCTAATTGATAAATCAAGTTCGTAAGGCACACCTTCGTTCGTAAGCCACACAGTCACACCACAGTGTGGTGTGACTGTGATGGTGCACCCGCGCCGATATTAATTTTCATACAATATTTAAAAGCTCAGTTGCAGTGCCACTGACTTGACTAGAATGGAAAAGCTGCATATTCATTTTAACGTTTAAACTTTTTAAATAAGCGTGCTAAAAAAGCGCTTTTCACTTAAACGCTTTTTGGAGCTTACAAAAATGTTATTAAAAAAGATTGCAACATTGTGTTGACAGCAAATAGCGAGACGAGGCCACTAAATTATGTAGGATAAATAAGTTTATTTGTAAAACACGAATTTTATTTTATTTATAGCATTATTCACATTGACGAATTAATTTGTTTAGGCAACATAGAGTGTGGGAGCTTGCTTATCATTTTAGCGTAAGCATAGCTTATATTATGTCATTGTTTAGTAACAGTACAACTTCTCGCGATAGAGTTCATCGAGGGAAGTTCTGCCACCTCATCTATTTCTGCCGTCAGGCAGTTATGTGAGCGTTACTGTGTTTCGGTTTAAGGGTGCTAATCAAAATACAGGCACATGGGACTTGTCAATTTATCTTTTAGGATGATTGGCGCAGTGGCAGCGCCCCTCAGATCTTTGCAGTTTAAAGTTCTGAGTGGCACTGCAACTGTTATGGACAGATATCGTTATCGTAAAAAGACACGGACGAAAAATGCGTACTCGGCTTGGTCACCCCAAAAACACACCCTCAAGCTCAGTTCAGCTTTGGCCATCAACGACGTCATAACAAAACACGGAGTAACGAGAAATGTATATTTTTTCAACGTGCACCTACTCCCTAGTTTCACTTGAACAATAAACATAATATACGCATATCTTTATATCATGTATACATATCACATGGAATTTGTTGTGTATAATGTGTAGTGACGAATTAAGAGGAACATCATAACAGAATCGATAGTGAAATATCATTTGAACAATTCATGACAATTGCTGTGATTGTAAAGTGAAAAACAAGTAACATCGCAATTTGTGCAAGAATTTTGTGTGGAATGGTACAGCCTACAGCTCGCAGGCCTAACACTTTTGACTTGGAACGTTTAATCGTGAGTGGCATAAGGTTGTCCATATGTACGTATTGTGTGTTACCTTGGCCACTATTATATGAAATTTATACTAAATTCTCCTGTGGCGTGCCCTTCTGGCGGCAGTCGCTAGTGTTCTAATCTCAGGCTCTTCACATTGCTTGAAATACAGGTGAAAATCCTTGAAATCGGCTTTTTGCCCCGTGGCGCTGTCAAGGGCGTCAGCGGCCGACTGGTATAGATCCGTGAGAACCAAAATATATTTAAAAAAAATATAGATAAAATATAACGAAACGTCTTTATCATCCTTAGAAATAAATCAGGGTCTATTAGAAACAAAACCAAGTATTACGAAAACTAATTAATAGATTGACGCGTTACTTTGCGGAAGTCCATGTTAATAAAAATGGAATTAAATTAATTTGCTACTCCACGAACCTCTTCGGTCGAGGGTCGAACACTCAACACCTGAGGATGCTTCGTAGAGGTGAAACACGTGTAGGGTATATTTGTGATGGTGGTGACTATGGGTCGTATTCTAGAACTCTACTCAATGCTCAAGTCAGGATTTGAGTACGGTTTAAAGCACCCGAAATCATACTCAAGTCCCTGCCATTAGGGTCGTATTTCCAGTGCTTGTGTATCCAGTGCAATCCTGACTTGAGCATTGAGTAGAGTTCTAGAATACGACCCTTAGACTGTAATTGGGCTTGTTATGTATCCAGCTTTGCACATAACACACATACC